CACACACACACACACACACACACACACAGAGAAATTACTTAAAACAGCGAAAGTTCCCGTGTTTGTTCCATAGCCCCATTGTGATGGAGGTAAAGAATAGTTCGACTGCTTATCCTACAAGCATGTCGTAACAGCCGAATAACTGGAATGGGGACCGGCTTCTTTCGAAATCAGAGTGCATCTACATAAGAGGGAAAGCCAACAATCTGCATGCAAATAAGCTATATCTGTAAAATGGATGTGCACGCAACACTTAGATTCTTGAACAAGACTAAAGACCACTGTTTGACCAACAACTAGAACTTTCCGCCGGAGTTTACAGCCGGTGATCCTTTTTCTTCCCATCGGCACACCAGCATATGGTGTTAAACCCATATTTATTTTAAAAAAAATCGTTTGGAAGCTGACGGGTAAAATATTATGCTTACTTTAAGTTCTCTCTACAATCCGGTATTAAGGGAAGGGTTCCTGTGGTTTGATTTGTCACATGTCTGTGCCTCTTGTTTCAGATATGAGAGAGTGGATATTGTCAATTTTACAACCAGCTGGAGGGATGGGCTGGCCTTCAACGCTCTGATACATCATTACAGGTAGGCTGCAGTTGGTTCTTGTTTTTCTTCCATTTGATGTTTGTGTTGAGTTAAGAAAAGTCATCACATTGCTCGCAACTTTCAAATAAGCGCTCTGTCCCCATCTTCAGCAGCCAGCGCCAAGCTCCAATATCGCTAGTGCCAGTAGCAGTCTGGTATTTTATTTAAACATTCAGCATTTGCCACATTATTTTATCATTTCGAGCTGCATATCTGTTTTGGTGATGCTAAAGGGGATTCTGTAGAAAAGAGGTGCTAACTAGCTCGGTCTCTAACCAGGTACTCCTTCTCCAGCATTCCGAGCCCCTGAACTTCATTGTCTCTGGTTGGCCTTCTCTTTCCAGTTGGTGACATCAAGTGTTTCCGGGTCTGTCTGGAGGTCATCTCCCCATCTTCTTGGTCTGCCTCATGATCTAATTCATCTCCCTTGTGTACACAGTTGTTACCTCTCTGTCATCTGACATTCCCTCAATAAGCCCCAGCCATTTCAACCTATAATTAGCTCTAATGATGCCAGTGATCAATGGGGATTTAAACAGATACGCCTGACCAAAATAGAAGGGAACAGATTCAGATACACAATGAAAGACACAAGGGCAAAATAACACAGAAAAGAATGAGCCACGGGAAAAGGGGGGGGGGCACATGAGGAAAATATGAAGAGGAGATGGAAGTAGATGTCGTCTTTGAAGAAAGTAATACCGAGCCAGAGAGCTGGCGAACTTACCTCAATCTTAGCAACGAAATTGGTGCAAATAAACCAAACCACAAATATAACTGGAAACTGTTGGCGGCTCGCTGCCAACGCCAGGTTAACATGGTCGAGATTTGTTTTTTCTAGAAGGGTAACGGTAGCAGTAACATCCGTCTGAAGACTTGTATGTTTCTATCATTCATGTTACCATTCAATGGATAACTGTCAGCATGATGTTTGTGCAGGTCTGTCTCAGGTTCGAACTCCCATCAATATTATTTAAGGAATAACTTGGTCTTGCAGATGGTCGTCGGCGTCTGTGGCTAGGGGTTGAGAACGTGATGTGTAATTTCAAAATACTCAGTTTGATTCTAGTTGTGAGCGATTTGACAGCAGCTAGTTTTCCTGCCTCGTGCACGTTCTTACCCAAGGCGTCACTAATATCGTGTGTTCATCTTCTTGTTAACCGGTCCCTTCCCATCCTTTGGAGTACCCTGCCTTCTTCTCTTTTTCTATCCAGTCTGCCCTGGCGTTTGATATGGCCAAAATATTTCCGTTTTCTAGACAAGATGCTGTGTACAAGCCAATCTTTCTTAATGGTGTTCAGATTTTTTAAGATGTCAGTATGTCCGTATTTATCAGGCTGTATTCTCACTTTCCCATCTGCAGACCTGACCTGTTCAACTACAGAGACTTGCTGACCAAGGACAGTCACTACAACCTCAACTACGCCTTCCACACTGCCAGTGAAAGGCTGGGGATTGACAAGCTTCTGGATGCTGAAGGTATTATTTTTGCTGCTATTGTTGTTTTGCCGTTGATCCCATTTGGGCTGCTGCCTGCAACGCTTGGCACCCTGAGATCAGAAGACCTCACTCTGGGTCACAGATCAACAGGACATGAAGATTTGACACTGTAAGAATTGAAGAGTCCCAATTCTGACTGCCAAACATCATGGCAAGCACAGCTGCTCGTTCAACCTGCAAACAAGTTATAATTCTTCTTCTTGTGCCTTCTATCCCCCCAGTGGAGCACAGTCCCTTAACCAGAGCACGCCAAGACGTTCAATTCTTCGCTGTTGCATTGGGTCCCAGTGCAGAGACATTCTAGTCGCATTGTTCTCATGTTTTCTCATCCTATGTTCTATCTAACGCCAGCGTTTTTTCTTCACCTCTCGGTAAAGTTATAGTTAGGGCACCCGTATCAGCCACACCAG